CTTCTGCAACTGTGTCATCCAAAAAACTAACCCTTCATTGTTAACTATTGTAGTTACCTACTTTTTCCCATACACAAAATAATCCTATATAAGCAAGTAATAATATATAAATAAACAATCATATATAATACAGAGAGAGAACAGGTGTATATATAGGTGTATATATAGAACAGTCCAAAAAGAGTCCAGTAGAACCTTGGGATGAGAGAACAATCACAGTTCTATCTGAGGCAGAAACATCTATGGAGTAGTGGGATTGAGGGGTTTGTGCGATCCGTATGAAAGAGAAAAGAAAATCTTATAGTGCAATAAAACCCAAATAGGTAGCAGCCAATAAAAAAGTTCTATATGGTCCTACTCACATTTTTGAGAGCTAAAAACTAGCTCTAGTATAAACAATGTACAGTGGTATAATCCCCATTTATAGGATATGTGAGGGAGTGTTGTAAGTAGATATGTCGTCAGATCGGGACCATATGTAACATAAAAAATAACAATAGTGCTCACTGGGATAAAACCAGGAGAGTGTATAAAAATAATAATGATACAAATAATTGTCTGTTAATCCACCTATTGTACAACACTGTGGAATACAAAAAAAATAATGATAATAAAACCTGTAAAAAGAAGGCAGGTAGCTCAAGAGACAAGATGAAGGCATAGGTAAGAGGATAATCTTTGTTTCCACTATAGGGGGATTCAAGATGCTTATTCCAGTAAAAGCACTGTTCTCCCTTGCCTTCTGGTAGGGGTTTCAGTTGAACATGCAGTTTTCTAGCCATTGAGAGTTATCTATCAATTGGATGCTTTTTATAAAAAAATTACTGTTCAATGATGTTAAAAAGGTTACTGCAGTCTGACTGATTAACATTGGGAAAGTTACCAATACCAGTGAAGAAACAGTTTACAATTTACTTTTGTACATTTAGATACAATTAATGTGAAAGGTATTTTAGCTAAATTGTTTTGTAGGTTCTATGAAAAAAAAGCAAATAGTACTCAATGCAGAATAATAAAATGTATATAACAGTTTGAAAGCCCAATAATACAACCAAGGTGAGACATCTTTCGCTTGTAAAAAATGTTTGTATTTTTAAATGTAAACTATTTAGAATTTTCAAGGAGAAAGCACCCTTTACACTGATATTCTGTGACAGTTAGTCAATGAAGAGAAAAAAAAAAATCAGAGGTGCTTCTGTATTTCCCCTCACACTAAATTATAGAATTAATAGGCTTTTAGAATAGAATGACGCATAATCACAGCGAATAAGACAATTAAATGTGGGAAGCCACTTTTCTCAACACATTTCATTTTAACGAGAGGCTTCGAGACTCAATAAATCTTTTATTTTTTTCCTCCCCATGTTCCATTCTCTCCTAATTTCTGCAGGACTTAATGCTTTTACAAGAATCAGTTGGAAAAAATCAAATTAGCTTGTTCTTCAGACCTTTCTGTCCATCGTAAGTAGAAAAAAATATAAATTTATTTTTCTCTGTCTGAAAATAAATCAGTTATTCTTTTTTATTACTTTTGCTTATTTTGGCTACTGCTTCTAGGATAAATAACTTAGTTATGTTTTTTTTTTAATTTTAATATATATTTACACATGAAGCTTTTCTTTTTTTGGAGAGGGGGCTGACAATCCGGGTGCAGTCAATTTCTATCTAAATTGGGCCTTGTCAACCATCTCGATTGAAGGCATAGATACCTGGACAAGATTATTTGCCCTGCACTTACTTGCTTTGTCCAATAAATGCTTCTCATTATAAAGCATTGAGAACAAACCTTCATTCCAAAGCATCTCATGGACATAGATGGTTTTATGAAAAAAAAAAATCATACTGTTATAAAATGCAAAACATTTTGCAGTGGTGTACAATAGATGAACTAACAGACAAGTATTTGCAACAAGATGAGTTAGACGCACAAGAATAAAGGTTGTTGATGGCCCTGCTCAAACTTGCTTACATTCTGAGAGAGTAGGGTAAAGTGACACAAGAAGTAAGAATATAGTGTATTTCATGTATGGGGAAAGTAGGTTACTAGAATAGATTACAATGAAGTGTTATTTTTTGGCTGACAGTGTTGCAGAATAGGAAGCATGGTGGGTTACCACGATGAGGAACAAGAAGTGAGTTTTCAATGATTTTTTTGAAGAATGGAGACTGGGTGATGGTCTAACGGAGCAGGGAAGTGGATTCCATAGAAATGGCAAAGCTTATAATAGTCTTAAAGATGGGCATCAGAAGTGTAAGTACAAACAGAGGATAGACACAGGTCTTTTGGCAAAGCGTAGGGGTCTAGATGGGACATACTTGTGTGTTATTGAGGATAAGACGTTACGAGCAGATTTATGTAGAGATTTATAAGCTAGTATCAGAATTTTAAATTTAGTCCTAGATTTTCAAGAAGCTATTGTAAAAACTAAGAGAACGTTACCTGCACTCTGGCCTAAATCCCTATGTACATTTAAACAAAATGGAGGCTATTTAGTTTTATTCCAATGGCCATTTGAATATAAGCTCACCTGCCACGTCAAGGCAAGCCTCAATAGGTGAGTCCTACACTAGCCATTAGATTTGCTGATATCAGCCAAGAATCTCCAATGAGACAGGAAGGGAACCCTTCCACATTTAACCCCTATATAGGGCTTTTGTTTATGGCAGTGGATCATCTGTTGCAGTTCTGAGTTCTGTGAATAACTATTCATTTCATCCTTAACAGAACTTTCTTAAGACAACACAACCCTACGTCTAGACCAGCACTATTCTGTTTTATAGCCCGTTCAAGGCTGTCCTCTTAGCCACATATAAGAAATTCTTAAAAATACTGCATAAAAATATACATTTCACTAGTACCAACTAAAATATATAAGGAGGGAAAACTCTTTATTTTTATGTCCCCCAGAGGAACTGTAATTTATCTTATATTGTAGACCACAGCTACACTTTAAAATAACCAAAATTCAAGGTCTGTAAAGGACATATTTTGAGAGCATAGTAGTACTATCAATAACTCTGAGACATCAGTCTTTCTACATTTTCGGAAATATCATGATGCAAATCCAACCAGTCTATCTGTAATGAGCATTGAACAGATAGAAAGAAAGAGAACAAAGACAAAGAAATTAAAGAAATTGATTCGAACCAAGACTAGATGGATATTCAATGTAGAGACCCTTGCATCTAATGGGTTAAATGGCATTTAAACTGTGAATGTTAACTTTTACTGTTCTAAAACACTCATATTTGTGTTCAGTGACATCTCAAATGTACAACAATATCCCCAACGTACATGTTTTATAGGGTTTTGGAATGTTACAGGGTCAATTATATTGCATTTTGCATTTTCAGTTTATGCATATTACAATTTGCCAGATTGGTTTGATGGGCCAATGTTGCCTTTGGGACCATATGGTAGCCCAGAAATGAAAATTAACCCCATCATGGCATAACATTTGCAAAAGTAGACATTCTAGGTTATTCAAAATGTGGTGTGTCTAGTCTTTTTAGTAGAAACTTAGTCGCAAACACTGACCAAAGTCAGAGTTCATAATTTTTTTTTCATTTATCGGATGATATCATCAAAATTATACATTTGACTGCTCTAAAATATTCATGTATGTGTTCAATTGTGTCTCACAAGTACAAAAGTACCCCCATGTCCAAGTTTTATAGTATTTTGCAAAGTTACAGGGTCAAATATAAGACTTGCCCATCTACACATTGAAATTTGCCAGATTGGTTATGTTGCCCATGTGACCGTACGGCAGCCCAGTAATGAGAATTATCCTCTTCATGGCATACCGTTTGCAAAAGAAGACAACCCAGGGTAATTAAAATGGGTTATGTCCAGTCTGTCCTAGTAGCCCTGGCCAAAGCTAGCATTCATATTTGTTTTGTTTTTTTATTTTTCACTCACAAACTGCACTTTCACTGATGATATCATCATTGTGATATGTTTTCCTGTTTTGAAACACCTAAATTTGTATTCATCAAAGTCTACCGAGTTAAACAGTAACCCCCCATGTACAGGTTTTATGGTGTATTGTAAAGTTACAGTGTTAAACATAGAGCTTGCAAATGAAATTCAATGGACTTGTCAGACAGATCCCTCATATTATAATTAATAAAACCACATAAATATTTGAAAAGATTACATAAATATAGATGTTGATGCTATATAGATGTTATACATATATAAAACATCCCAGAGAAATGCACTCAGAGGGCTTGTAGCCTTGTGCAATATTTCCTTTATTTGTGCAAAGTTACAGTCAACTTTTCAGTCCAACTTGAACTGAAACGTTGACAGTACCTTTGCACAATTAAAGTATATATTGCACAAGACTTCAAGCCCTCTGAGTGCATTTCTCTGGGATGTTCTATTGGGGTACGAAATAGCACTGAGGCAAGAACAGGAGAGGAATGTGAGTGCCAAGCCAATGTTGGATATATATCTCCTTATACATATAAACATACATATATATATTTTTTTTTTTTAATTGTTTTTATTTATAAATATATATATCTATATATATATCCACTCCAAACAATGAAAATAAATTCAAGGGCTGCACTCACGGTCTGAATGATGAAGATATTATTTTATTCCATAAAAACGAACAAGATCGACGTTTTTATGGAATAAAATAATATCTTCATCATTCAGACCGTGAGTGCAGCCCTTGCATTTATTTTCGACGTTTCGGTCCACACAGGGACCTTCCTCAGGATCAAATGACATCTCATGTCATTTGATCCTGAGGAAGGTCCCTGTGTGGACCGAAACGTCGATCTTGTTCGTTTTTATGGAATAAAATAATATCTTCATCATTCAGACCGTGAGTGCAGCCCTTGAATTTATTTTCATTTCATTTAGTTTAGCGTGAGTGCATGGATTCTATTTATTTTTATATATAGATCCAGATATAGATTTAATTTTAAGTGTATTTTTTGTTATTAAAATATGTATTATGAGGGGGCGGGGCCTGACCGGCATGGCGGACGGTCGTAATCTGCAGGAGCTCCCTACTAAACTACACTCTCAAGCAACAAGCTGGGACTCCTGTGGTACACAAATCGACCCAAACAAGGACTTACCTAACGCAGACAACGGCTGGAGTGTCCCGATGTGGAAAGCCGAGATGCCGACCGCCAAAAACCATGTGGACCGGTTGCTGCTAGTGGGTGCTCCCGGCGGGTGAGGTGGCCGACCTCCCGTCCCTTGTCTCCCCTGCCAGCAAGACCGTGCGGAGTCCACTCCCCCCCACCCCACAGGGCCAGGGTGGATATCCCGGTCCACCACACTCAGCTTGAGGTTGACCATCGTAGCCACATAGTGGAGTGGGAAACAAACGCCACGTGGACGCCCGGCAAAGCAGTGGACAAAATGGGATATGAATCCAGAGAATCTTTCAAGAATTCTGGCACAAACTGGAGGCAATGATGAATCAGCAGGCCAAAACCCACCCAAATACCAGCGTCCCACATGAACGACTGCCTGACCCGCGGCACATAAACAAGCGAGCCCCAACATGGTGGTGGGGTAAAACACGCCAGACTAAAGTAGAGAGCGGGAGGGATATTAAGCCACGACCCCGCATATGGAAGGCATCCCAAACTCAAGCCAGACTACCAAGCTCAGTCTGCAAGAATCCAGCCAGACCCAAAGACTTACTCTTTGCCACTGTTTTAATTGTGTAATTGTATACTAAAGAGAGGAGGTGATTACATATTTTATTTTATTTGTATTTTTGTGCCACGTTAAGGGAAAATAGGTCATATTTCCTGAGATTTAAGTTCAGCTAAGAGCAGTTACCTGAGTTTTATATTCATTATCAGTTAAAGTCCATATAAATCTGTTTAACAGGTGGCTGCCTCACTATCCAGCTACATCAGATGTATATTTTAACTCGCACCAGTCTTAGCCAGAATTTCACTGGTCATGAAAGGAGTTTTACAGAAAATAAATGATGGTAAATCCAAAGTGAACAGGTTTATTGGAGTAGATGAAATCAATGTTTCGGTCCAGAACAAGTATGGATGTGCTAGTGCTTTTTGCTCCAAATAATTTTAAGAAATAAGAAACTGGTTGATCAATTCAATGATCATAATGGAAATAGGTAAAGATGGGTTATCACCTCAGGGTGAATGGTCAGAAGTAATTGATTCAGAAGTAGATTGAACTGACCATAACACCTTAGGGTGAATGATCAGAAGGGATTGAGCTGACCATAGCAGGATGGGTGGATTCAGAGGCAACTAAGTATAGGGTACTGTATTTTTATTGCATACATCAAGATCAGTGGCGGATCCGGGGGGGGGCAATGGGGCAAATGCCCCCCCCCCAACAGCCGAGGCTCTCTCCTGCAGGGCCGGTGCTATTCAAGCGCCGGCCCTGTAAAGTGCCTTCACAGACCGAAGGGGAGATCAGAGATCTCTCTCACCGGTCCGCAGGCACATTGCTGGCAGCTGACATGGAGAGAGGAGACCCGGGAGCTCAAGCCTTAAGCTCCGACCGGGTATCCTCTCACGAGCACAGAGCGTTGTCGCGATTACCACGGCAATGCTCCATTCTTGCTATAGGGAACTCTAGCCTCAGGAGCTGCAGGCTAGAGTTCATTCCCCACTAGAACGGCCAGGGATTTCATCGGACCACCAGGGATTGGAAATACTATCCCCCCTCCCAGGCAAAGGTAAGAAGAAAGGGGGGATATAAATAATATTTTTTTAATTTAAAAAACAAACAATCATATGTTTTACTCTGCCCCCTCCTTCAACTACACACACACTGCCCCCACAGCCCCTCACATACGCACTGCCCCACCACACACACTGCCCCCACAGCTCCCCATACACACTTCCCCCATGGTTCCCCCATACACACACACTTCTCCCCCATGCACACTGCACCCCACACATACTTCTCCCCCACACACTGCACGCCCACACACACACACACACTCCAGTGCTACCCATGCAAACACTGCACCCCCACACAAGTCCCCCTCACACACACTTTCCCCCATACACACAGTGCTCCCCCATACAAACACTGCACCCCCACACACTTCTCTCCCCCACACACACACACACCCTACAACCCCACACACACTGCACCCCCATACAAACACTGCCCCCCAATACGCACATCCCCAACTGCGCTCCCATACACACACCGCCCCCACTACACCCTCATACACACACTGGCCCCATACACACAGTGAACTCCCATGCACACACTACACCCCTCACACAAACACACACTGCCCCTCCTATACACAGTGCTTCCACTGCACCCCCATACACACTGTCCCACATGTACTGCCTCCCGTACAAACACACATACTCTGAACACCTCACACACTGCCTCCCATACCCACCCTGCATCCCTCACACACACACAGTGCCTCCCATACGCACACACACACACTTTACTAGAGGCCCTATCCTGGCAGACCCCAGGTAAATTGTCTTAAACAGTTTGACTATTTACTCTGGGAGGATGCCACGGCACTCCTGGCCCCATAACCAGAGAGCTGTAGTAGTTATTGTTTCTTTAAATAATCTATGAGTGCCCCTCCCGATATAAGACTCTGCATCCGTCAGTGATCAAGATACTGATCTTATGCTTTTCCAGGCATGTAAGCTTTTTTGTTTACCTGTATACAAGGTATGTGTTTTTCATATAGAGGAAGGCAGTCTTCTTTGACACTCTCCGTGTGCACAAGGAATCAGGGAATCTGCTTATTCAACTCTTGTGTGAAGAACCTGTGTTTTACGTTATTAAGCATTTCACAATGGAAAAAGACAAAATGAACATGCTCTATGCAGATAAACATGGGAATCCATAAAATACCACTAGAAAAATATAACTTACATTCATAGGAAGAACTTCAATTCATCATGTTCCTAGGTAACTGATAATGTAATCTCCACCTGATGGGTGAAGATAAAACAATACTACCGCCCAACTGGATGTATTGTAACAAACCACCTCTTTTACAGGTAGGATTGTCACAGATTTTGCAGTAACCACAGGTATGGAAAGTCCAGGACACATTTAACTCAGTTTTCCTTTTTATTTGATAAAAAGCAGGTGCTTTAAATAATAACAAACAAACAAAATCCCTTGCTCTTACTAGACAGGAGTTACTATCTGTAATTGGGTGGCTTTCCCACTTACCAATTTTCCAAAAAAACTAAAATAGCTTTGCAATAAACACAAGTGTTGTTCACTCTACAGCAGGCTGATCTCTTCTTTTAAAGGCCTGTCTGCTAATTGACTAGCTACAGGTGAGTGCCAATTAGTAAACCCTTAAGTCAGATCCAAATTGTGGTCTGTTACACAGCAACTAGTGCTGTTGGAGCATTGGCCCACCCTGCTCTCCAAATACTCTGCCCCAGGGACCCATACCATGTTTTGCAGAACATCAGCAATGTAGATTGCAAACATTAACATCTCTCCCTGGGGCATTTAACTGAAAATTATCAGGTTGCTGTTTAGCAAATCAGGCCGGATGTATCTTCCATCAACCACAATTCCACTTTTACGCTCACAGTATATAACCAAACTGAACAATGCTGTTTAAATATACCAATTATTATTTAAGCTATTTATTGTTCATTTAAAATCATGTTAAATTTGCTTAAGTGTTGATACAATATGGAAACAGTCTGCAGTGTTCTATGCGGCTTGGTCTTCTGGTATCTGTAATAGTTGAAGGTGTTACTGATGGTTCCTGGGTTGTAGGTGCCATGTTTTGCTGTTTGACTTCTTCAAAATGGTGACTTCCACTTCTTTCCTCTTGGTTTAAATACCCTATAGTCCACTTCCTGTAGTTTTTCCAACTGACTAAAAGTGTTAACCCTGATTTGATTTTTAAAAAAATTGCAAACATATACTAAACTATGTTTTAGGGAACTAAGGGTTAAAACATGGAATTGAAATAATGAAATAGTAATGGCATGTATCAGCTGTGGATTTTGCAGCTATGAATGTTGCATTCCAATCATGGCTTGTGGGATGAGTTAAACAAATGTAGGCTTAATAATATTCTGGCAGAACGAGGGCAGACAATCAAAAGAAATTATTAGTCTGCTTGTAGCAAATGATAAACTAGGTCAATAAAACAGAACACACAAAAAAGGTATGTTGGTCTTGTTACATAAACTGCATGAGTGGCCAACTTTAAATATTAAACTATCTTTCCTGTGGAAACTCTATAAATTGAGGCTGAAAAAAGACCAGGAGTTGCATGAATATGTTAATGCTATGCTAGTAACTTGAAAATATAGCAAGCATGTCAAACTCCCGGCCTGCGGCCACATGCAGCCCACAATGGAAATCTTTGTGGCCCAGCCAGCTACAAGTGCATGCTTAATGTTAAAGCAGAGTAGGCACCTGTTTTCTTCACATTGCAGGTGCCTACTGTGCTAAAAGTTATCTGGCCGGGGAGGAGAGGTTCATGGCAGCAGTGAGGGAGCTCAGCCTTCCAGCTCCTCACTGATCCCTGGCGCCCGCCGTCTGTAGTGATGCTGGGCACCGGAATAGGACGGCATATTCCGGCACCCGGCATCACTAAACCGTGACCGAGCGAGCGGTGAAGAGGAGGAAGGCTGAGTTCCAGAAAGAAGAGGGCCCACATCAGCTCCCAAAGTTAGGGAGCAATAAATAAAATGATGTGAGTGCAAGAATGTGTTAATGTGTGTGTGTCTGTCAGTGTGTGTGTGTGTCTGTCAATGTGTGTATCTGTCGGTGTGTGTGTGTCTGTCAGTGAGTGTGTGTGTGTCAGTGAGTTTGTGTGTCAGTGAGTGTGTGTGTGTATGTCAGTGAGTGTGTGTGTCTGTCTGTGTGTGTGTGTCTGTCAGTAAGTGTGTGTCTGTATGTGTGTATCTGTTAGTGAGTGTGTCTGTCTGTGTGTGTCAGTGAGTGTGTCTGTCAGTGTGTATGTGTCTGTTAGTGTGTGTGTTGGTCAGTGTTGCATTGGCTGCGACTAGACAGTGGAGTACCTGGAGGTGCATGACAGCACGCAACGCCATGTAACATTCCGACATGACATCAACGTGCTCCATCTTCAATGGGTTTAAAGAAGTAGTGGGAGGATCAGATTTGGCACAGGGTGCAGACAGCGCCATTTGGGGTATACCAGAGGCCGGACGCATATGGAGTCGCATACTGGCAGCAGCAATGTGAGTGGAGTCTGCTTGTTGGCTAGAGGGCGGTGCTGAGATTTAGTATATGGGGGGACTGTGATTTAGTAGAGGGAAGTGCTGTGGTTTAGTAGAGGAGGTGTTGTTGTTTTTTTATACCGTACTTTTCAAAATAAACCTATGTTTCTATGAAAATGTAAGTTTTTTGTTTTTTTTTGTGGCTAGACTTTGAGTTTGTCTTGCTTGCTCTATAGGCTAAACCTGAGGTAGAATTTACATTTTAATTTGCGCTGAGGAATTTCATGATTATATGTTGCAACAATGTTCTGCTTCATTCTCAACCTATCATAGCCAATCTAATGGCATATACTGCAAGCTTGTGTCTGCTAATAATATATTGTTATGAAATAAACTTGTTATATTAATATAACTGACCTAAAGCATAATGTTTCAAAGCATACATTAAAGCATATCTGATAAACTGACCCTGCATAGTTCAGCAACTTGTTAGAACTCATTAGAAACTAACAGGAGCTGTGTAAATTGGTTCTCATGGATAAAATCAAATGATATACAACCTGCATTTTGCTCTCCTTTCATGAGGACCTCACTTTTTTTTTAAAATTCTTTATTAGGTCATGAGATGTATTAAAGGCAAATAATTCGTACAATGCCTTGGCTTGCGCAGAAGCCAATGCAAGTATAGTTCTATCAGTTGCGTTTCGTGTACTACAAGTATGATCACATTCTGTCACAATTTTTATATTTTTATACATAGAAAAGAAAAAAAATTAACAGTGCTACATTTATATAGTTATATAGCTTATGGAAGAACATGTTCCCCATTGGGGGAGGTATATTGACCCTGGAGATGCACTCAAATTGGTGCTTGTTGTCTGTGGCCCTAGTGTTTTGAGGTACCGTAGTCATGCATACATTCACGTTCCTTCATATAGGGTATGTGGTTTGTCGTTCCTATGGTGAGCCGATATACCAAAGTATAGGGACTATTTGTATAAGATGAGAGTGGGGGAGTGCACTGAAGTTATTGTATAGCAGCACTTCTACATCAGGTATCCTATCCGTGAGGTGAGGTGTGCTGTTTCTTAAAGTATGGTAAAATTGAGCACCATGGACATTACGGGTCCACTCTCTGTTTTTGGATGGATTCTGCCCTCTTCCTATGCGTTGTGATTCATCATTCTAACATCTCCACCCAGGGTACCTTTCAGATGCATGGACCATGTTCAATATTAATATGAGTTTCCCTCTGTTTGAGGGAGCAGAGAGGGAATTAGAGTCGGGGGGGCGGGGGGGTAGATATGTTTTGAGGAAGAGCGGGTACGTGTCTCATACCTGTGCTATGAGCTTATCCATAAGGTGTGCCTCTTTTATATTGCGGGCCACCCTGTCCATCTGTGGCATGTCAACTTGGAGCCATGTTTGTGCCAGGGCTCTCCTGGCAGCCAGGTTGATTTTGTTTAGGAGCTTTTGTTCTCTGTTGGGTAGGCTGTCTATCGGTTTAGCTATAAAGAAAGTCCAGGGGTCTGGTTCGATTGGCTTACTCAAGATTGCTGTCAGGAGTCTAGCTATGCTATCCCAATACTTTACGACTTTTGGACATGTCCACCACATATGTAGGTATGTACCCTTCTCCCCACAACCTCTCCAGTATGTGTCAGTGGGTGTATTGCCCATTCTGTATAATTTGACTGGTGTGGTGTACCATCCCATGAGCGTTTTATAACACTGTTCTTGGTGTATGACACATATGGAGGCCTTGGTCGCTGCCTCCCATATGTCCTGCCATTCCCCACTTTCTAGTGTCTGGTGGAGTTCTGTTTCCCATTGTGTTACATAGGTAGGTGTTTGGGCCTCATTGGTCAGTGCGCTCAATTGCGTGTATAGGAGGGTGATGAGGCCGGCACGTGGTCCGTCAGACATACACAATGTTTCTTAGAACGTGGGTTTGGCTCTGGCCGCTGCTGCGATAGCATAAGGTAATAGTGTGGAGTGGAGTTTACCCATGTTGTCTACGTAGCGGTCACCCCTCCAAGTTCCTGGTGGTCTTTACTTGGTCAGCTATAACACTTAAAGTGACTGCTTAGTCGTGTGACCATAGTTAGGGGTCCAGAAGGTATGTGTATTGTAGTCACTGAGGACATTACAGCAAGGCCGCTTATCAGCTGCTATGCAGTGTCCCATCTGCGGGGTGCAGGTCTGTGTATGGTAATGACAGTATGTTTGGGTCTCAGTCATTGTCTATAGGGGTGCCTGTGTGATTTAGTCAATCATGTGTTGTGGGTTACCAACTACTGTTGTGTATCTGGTAGGTTGTGTCGCTTGTTTGCTATTATTTATTGTTATTGTGTTTAAATTAAATTCCTGCATTTTTCTTTGTTGGATTATGATTTATTTTTTCCCCCCCGTTGTGTATTGGGTGTTTCTGTCGTCCGGGAGTTTTGGTTCATTGCATCATGTCAGTCATTCTCCCAGTTGCAGCTAGGAACAGTGTGGGAAGTCCCCAGCCCACCTGTACTCTCCAACCCCGTGGTTCTCGGGCATCCCACAAGGCCCAGGTCGTGGAGGGTCCCCTCTACCTCCCTGTGTGTGTAGGTGTTCATTCCGTACACCATTAGCCCCCACTCTCCTCAAAACACTTCTTTCAGTATACCCTACCCTCAGGCCCCTAGGCCCCGGCCTCCGTCTGATCTCAATACAAAGCAGAAAGGCAGCACTAGAAATAATCAATTTTAGCTGGCTACATCTCCCCGTTGCCCGCTGTTGAAAGTGATATTGGTAAAGATTAAACATTTAACAATGCTAAACATGTATACATATATGTAACCATGGTAAATTAGGTAATAGCTTGCGTGAGGCCTGATCCCAGGCTGTTGCATTGTCAGTGTCCTTGGCTCAGCGGCGGTGGATGTTTCCGAGATCGGGAAGCAGTGAAAGTGTCCCTGGACAGTTGGATGGAACGCGGAAGTCCTTGGGTAGTTCAATGTCCAAGTCTGTCAGAAAGGTGGGTATGTCCGTCGAGGGAAGCAACACTGCCAGTTTTGGGCCATTGAAAACCAGAATCTTGAAGGGATATCCCCAGGCAAAGTGTAGGCCGTTGTTTCGCAGCAGGTCTGTTACTGGCTTCCACTCTCTCCTCCTAAGGAGTGTGGCCGGAGCAACGCCCTGGTAAAGTTGGATGGCAATGCCATCATGCTCGTAGGCCTGTGTTCTGCTATGTCGGAGTATGGCCTACCTTGGTCTTGTAGTAGTGCCACTTCATGATGACATCTCTGGGGGGGCTGTTCTTCAGTCCCCTTGTGCACTCTGTCCACAATCCAGAGGTGGTCAGGGATATCTGGCAGGCTCCCTCAGAAGCAAGAGACCAGACTTACCTCGAGGTCCGCCTCCTCTACGGTCTCCGGTAGGCCACGGATGCGCAGGTTGTTGCGTCTTGATCGATTGGAGACGTCCTCGACCTCCAATTCAAGATCCACTATCCTGTGGAGGAGCCTATTGGTGAGGGTTGCTGCAGTGTTGTGGGCCGCAACGACGGTCCCCATGCGTTGTTCAATGAGGGTGGTGCAGGCCCCGATGGCGGCTATCTCGGTTTTGACCTCAGCGGCTGAACGTTTAATTTCTTCCGCCAGGTACCCCTTCGCCTCGGCCAAAGATTGTAAGATGGCACTGGCGGATGCCTCTGAGGAGGAGTCCTGTGTGGGTTTATGTGCTCTGTAGGCCTCTGCGAGGTGAACATGTCTGCCACTGATGGAGCTTCTTTATGGCCCTTCTTAGTAGGTCTACAGTTGGACATCCGGCCCCGGGCTACGTGGTCGATATGGGGTCATGCAGGGGAAGTTTGTAGTAGTTTACACAGGGGTTGTAGTGGATTACAGTGCAATTGTATGAGCATTGGGTGCGGAGCTCACACTCCATGCGGCCATCACCGTTGGCGGTCAGACCACGCCCCTCAGGACCTCACTTTTTATTATTTTCCATTATTGATTTTTATCAGTCAGCACTATTGACTGTTTTATTTTTTTCACATAATTGGTGATCCATCACTACCGAGTCTAGAATCCCATACACTCCTACTGGCAATCACATCCAAAAATACCATCTAAAAAAAGACTTCAAAGGACCAGTATATCCACATGCGAGGACCATAGTGCCAAAGCACAAATACTTGGAGCTAGGTTGAAAGCTCAAACAATTTTGTATGTTTTTTTATATTCCCTGTAGTGATCACAAGAAAATACTACACTATATTGTGTTTTCCTGTCTTCTTATATTACATATCCACTGACCATTACTTGAACCTGAGTACAATCAAAAGGCACTGCTACCTTACTACTATCCTGGTCCTCAAGGATGTCTGTTTTAACTGACTGTACCATTTTGGTTGTAAAGTTAAACCAAATGGACCTTCGTTGGATAGACCAAACATCTCTCTGTCTATCCATTTTCCTGTCTAACTTTCTTTCCTTCCCCTTCCTTCTTTCCCTGTTCCATTCCATTGAGAGGCTCATCTTTTTAACAGTAGATTATTTTAATCACAGCAAACAATTCAAATAATGGAAACACTTTCCTTTGTTTTCTCATTTGTCTGCATTCCCCTAGGCTTAGATATCTGGTGTCATTGTGATAACATAAATATGCCTTATTTTATCTTGTGAAATTGCTTAGTATATCAAGTATTTTAACTAAGCCTGAAGATTAAAATGGAAATCCTTAATTGAACCAAGCAGTTTTTTTCTCAATAAGTATCTGTAGGTATAAAATAAAATGGAATGCTGAGATTTCTTTTTTACAGTTAATCAATTTCAACTGCAGAGGTGCAACTTGATACATTTTAACTAATATACATTATTTGAGTGGGTTGTTCAGATGTAAGACTAAGACTGTGTTTAGAGGTTGTTTATACATTAACAAAAATGTTATATATTGCCTTTGAAGGAAACTCTTGTAGATAACACAGGAAGTGCGTTAGCAAAATTTATTGGCTCATAAAGTATAGGAATGAACAGTTTTCTGTGTTTTCTTACTTCAGTATGCAGTTACAGGTTACTTTGAATACCATTAATTAAATGTAAGGAAGGATAAAATAAACTATGGCAGGAAATGTTCTCTGGCTTGTGACAGGCAAATGCTAAGATGAACAGAAAACGTAGGCCACCAGGCTGTTGCTTAGCCAGCTTGGATTTTAAATTAGAATCATAAGCTGCATATTTTAGTCTACGATGTTGATATTTAATGTTAATATCTTAATTTATAGCGGTTTCCAAAACCATAAATATGTCACATTTAGAAAGGCTTAACTCACATAGAGTACACATTTGACTTTCATAAACAAAAATGGAGCTTGAGCTTGAAGATAAAACTTACAAATCAAATCACAAAAAAAAAAAAAAAATCACACATCCAGAACACTTACTTTGAAAAGAAAAGAAAAGAAAAGAAAGAGAAAAAAGCACATCTATCTGATTACATTTACAATGTCAGTAACTTCCTAGTCTTTGGAGATTGGTAGTGAAATGTCAATTATAGATAGTGGGCTGTCAACAAGATTCTACTAATTCTACATTATTCTGCACTGTCTAATTGGGTTTACTACTGGCAGTGTCAGAATGGTCCTCTACAGATTCAACATCACCAACAATGAACTACTCACATAGATGCTGAGAAAAAGTAGATAAATTGGCATATCCTAGCTTTCAATGTTCCCCCATATGCCCATATACTACGTACGTGTATTGTACATTGCACATTATGTGTGTATAGCATCTAAAGTTGTTTTTTTGTTTATCCCTTTCTATTTTATAACTGAACTTGACCTTCAATAGTTGGACAAATAAACTCTCAAAGAGCTGTGGTGGAATTACCATTGTCTTTTGGGAACCATGGCTGATGATTTTCCACTGTTTGTCAGCAGCCACCTTCCTAAACCCTTTTTGCTGGTCCACCTTACAGTTAAAATACTTAGGTATTATCATTCCAAAAATCATCAGAGATTTGTTTTCATGGAACTACGGGCCTCTATTCCAGAAGATTGTTGACAAGTTATACTCTCCTTCTTAATTACACTGGCCACATCCACAGTCCTATCATTTACCCTTGGGATCTGTGCCTTTTAGTGACTTCCTTTTATTAGACATGGTGCTCTTTAAAATAGATTACGTTATTCTTAAATCTATCTGGCATTCCAAAAAAGCCAAATTTATTTTTTTATTGTGATTTCCCCTATTTTAAATACTAAACCTATTTCTTTGCTATCCTTTTAGGCTATGCCAATGTCAGGATTATAAAATTAACATCTACATTATCAGGCACAGGATAAAACCACTCACAACATCAGATCTGAAATGTATTTTCTATAGAAACCATTGAATCTCTCCCTTATGGTCAGATTGAAAACTTTATGACACTCTGTTCTCAAAGGATGGCAAGCTCTCTTATATGAACGTCTTGACATCAAATGTCACCTTATTATCACTGCTTCACAAACCAAAAGTTGAATTCTATCAAGCCACTAGTTGCATTTGTCTATGGATATCAACATATCCATTCCACTTTGGTATTTTAATACCTACAACAAAAGCATGATATTCCTAATAGGTACAACATATTATACTTCTAAGTTGTTAACTATCTTTACTTTAACCTTCCTGATGCCAAAATGATTTCAAATGAAGGGTGAGGTCACCATTCATGATGTTCTCGATTTATTGACTTGCCATACCTGACCTGGAATTGACATTTGCCAAAGGTGGCCCATCTGTTTGGTATTTTAAAGTTTAGAAGGTGACCTTTGACATCCTATTTCACATTTTTACATGTAGACATATTGCTTCATGACAGTTTATTGAATCCTACACTGCAAATATTATCATCCTGCCCTTGTCTGTGCAATTGGCTTGATACAATAACATGCCTATAGGAAGTGTGGCATAAGCGTGATGAATTTCTAATACTGTTTCAATACTACTATGTTCTGAAACTGTTCCTGGACCTTTTTCTTAGTTCCTATATTTCCTATTCCTCAACATTTATTTGAGACTGTATAGTGATATTAACCAACTACTACCCAAAAACTAAGTGACAAACTGCTTTCAATTGCAACAAGGTCCATATTTTGACAACAAACTGTGCACTTTATTTGTCTTGGATCATATTTTCCACACATTAGAACTAGCAGGTTTTGTGCACAAGATTCTGAAAGTGAAAACTCTTTATATGAACTCTACTTCTAATATAAAAATAATGTAAAATATGCTTTTAATATTCTAGTGCCAATAGGTAATGTTGTATTGTCTTAAGAGTGATTTTAAGCGCTAGTGAGTCATTTGCTATTAACTCTTACTATGTGAGTCTCATAAGTAGTGTTCTATATTATATATCAATTATTTGCTTTCTACTAAAGAAAAAAACTAAACTACAGCTCACAAAAAAACCTAAACCATGCCATAATTTGCAAAAGTATTTTGAGTAAAAATTTAAAACTGATGGATTGTAGGGTAGGAAAAAAGGAGGCTTAAAGATAAAAAATATATATTTTTTAAACATAAAAATTAATAAAATCACTACATTTTTATTTTGCCGTTTGTTGTGCTGTGGCCATACTGAATCAGGCCCTTAATATTTAACCCTTTAAGGACCAAGGACGGTTCAGGACCGGTGTGGGGAGCCTGCCTACAGCCCAGACTGTCTCCCCATGGCGGATTAGGAACCCAGTGGCCATGTGATCGCTCAACAGAGTGATCACATGGTCACAATAAGTGTCCATGTGTCTGCCTGCAGGGGGACTGCCTGTGCTGACAGGCAGTCTCCCTGCTAGTGTAAAATCATAAAAAAAAATTAAAGTTAATGTTAATAAAAAAAATAAAAAAATATATGTGTATATATATATATATATATATATATATATATATCATATATAGACATATATTACATTTATATAATATATGTCTATATATGATATATATAATGTCATACTAAGTGTATTTTTATATTAATATGTACATATATTAATATAAAAATACAGTTATAATTAAATTACACACATGTATATATAATTTATAATAACTATATATATTGTATATATATATATATAGTATTATAAAATACAAATAAAAAGTAGATTAAATTAAATAAAAAAATTGAAAATAATAATAAAAATTTTTAAAAATATTATACATATATATATATGAAATTTTATTCTAACTGTATTTTAATACTAATATGTATATATTTATATCAAAATACACTTAGAATTAAATTGTATATATATCTATGTATATATAAATAAATAAAAATAATATGAAATATACATATGTCCATATGCAAAATTACATAAATAATTAAATAAATATACACGTAGACTTCAAATATATAAATATGCATATATATTTAAATTCTACGTGCATATTTATGTAATAGTTTTACATAGTTAAGTAATTTTATTAATTGCAATTTGAGGGACCTTCCTGCCAACCGAGGCCGAAAGTCCAGAGAATTTAATTTGCTAGCACTGTATTTTTTCCTGTAACTTTCTATGACACCCTAA